CACAGAAGGAAAAAAGAATATCAACAAAGGAGCCTCGTGCCAGAGATGCGGACTGGATCAACATACGGAAAGCGCGAGATGCCCAGCGCTTCGATCGACATGCCGCAGCTGTAAGAAGATAGGCCATTGGGACAGAGTTTGCAGAACGCGCAACATAAAGCGCCTAGCAGAAGAAGATGGCAACGTCACAAACGAAGCCAGCGAGATGGCGTTCTTGAGAGCAATAGGGCGTCGGACATCGCATGTAGATAAAGATTTTGTAGTTCGCGTAAAGATTCTTGAGCTCGCGAAAGAGGAAGAATTTCTCATAGACACGGGCGCTGACATAACTTGCATTTCGAGCGAGTCGATACCGAAAAATTTTAAGCGTAAAATTTTACCGACCGACAAAGTAGTTTTCGGGCCTGATGGGAAAAGATTATCAGTTATCGGCTATTGTAACGTGAGTTTAATTAAAGACGACGCGAAATTAGAAGGCAAAATTTACGTCTTGCGCGGGTTAAAGCAAAATTTGCTTGGAAAGCCGGAAATAAGGGGATTTAATTTAGTTTATGGAATAAGAAATGCTAACACCAAGCCCATCAAATCTAAAGTAAGCGTGGAAAAAGAGTTTCCAAAAGTTTTCAGGGACCTAGGTTTATTTAGCAAGGAGTTAACTATTCACATGAGAGAGGGGACCAAACCCTTCGCGTTAAGCGTCCCGCGGTCAGTTGCGTTACCTTTACTACCAGAATTAAAGAAAGAGTTAGACGCACTACAGAATAAGGGCGTAATCGTCCCAGTCGATTTCCCGACAGAATGGTGCAGTCCAATAGTAGCAGTTCCGAAACTAAACGACAAGGAAATACGCATATGCGGCGACTACACGGTTCTCAATAAAAGCGTCAGGCGCGCGGTACATCCGATACCGAAGATAGACGTCGCGCTCGCAAAGTTAAAAGGATCGAAAATATTTTCTAAACTCGATGCTAAGACAGGCTATCACCAATTGAGGTTAGATAAAGAAAGTCAGAAACTGACGACGTTCATAACCCCGTTCGGAAGGTATATGCACACACGCTTGCCATATGGCGTAAACTGCGCATCAGATTATTTTGCGAAAGAGTTCACAGAAGCACTAGGCAATGTAGCAAACGTCGTCGTTGTCGTTGATGACATTTTAATATGCGGCCGAAACGTCGAGGAACATGATAAAACACTGAGAACAGTGCTCGGTAGACTAGAAAGCGCCGGGATAACGCTCAACAAAAATAAATGTATTATCGGTGTACAAGAAATAGACTTTCTGGAGCATAAAATTTCAGAATACGGAATTAGCATCTTGCCCGAGCGCGTAGACGCGATAGTGAACTTTCCGGTTCCTAAAAATAAGGAAGCGTTGCTACAATTTTTAGGCATAGTGAATTATATTAGCAAGTTCATCCCAAACAAATCTTTGTTGTTAGAACCGCTCAACTCGCTGCTAAAAGACGGAGTATCTTTTGATTGGTTTGACGAACAGGAGAGAGCATTCAGCGTAGTAAAAAAATGCGCTCGAGAAGCTGCGACGCTAGCTCACTACGATTTCGCAAAAAAAATCATTGTCCAAGCAGATGCCTCTAGCTACGGGCTAGGAGGAGTATTAATCCAAGAGGATGCGGAAGGTAATCGCGAAATAGTAGCATACGCATCGCGAACGCTCACCGCATGTGAGACACGGTATAGCCAAATCGAAAAGGAGGCATTAGCCTTAGTGTTCGCAACAGATCGTTTTAAAGACTACATCGTAGGAGTCGAGGTAACGCTCGAAACCGATCACAGGCCGCTGATTTAAATTTTATAAACGAAATTAGACGAAACAATTAGACGAGATAACTCCAAGGTTACAAGGAATGCGGATGCGTTTAATGCGTTACACGTATAGCGTGGTATACGTGCCGGGTAAACAGCTAGTGTTAGCGGACTCTCTCTCGAGAAATCCGTCAAAGAACAAAGAAAAAAGAGAGGTCGATATTTCTGAGGATCTCGATGTTTACATAAATTTTATTGTAGATAATTTACCGGCGACAAAAGATATCTTAGAGAGAATCCGCACACAACAGGAAACCGACTACGTATGTTTAAGATTGAAACAATATTGTTTATCTAAGTGGCCTTCAAAAAACAATCTAGCAGCTGGGTTATCACCAGTGTTGTGCATAGATGATTTTAAAATTAGCTAGATAAAGATAAGATGAAAATTTGAAAATTTATCTTAGATAAGATAAAGATGATTACATTTAAATTAATCTAGATAATATAGATAAATTTATCTGACAATTTATCTAAAAATTCTAGATAATTTTTTATGTTTAAGACTATTTATAAATTAAGAATCAGTTTTTTCTCAAAATAATTAAAAAATATTAAATTTTAATATGTAACTTTGTCTCTTACAATGTCTCTCACAATTTTCAAAAAAATAATGAAGAATCACATAAAAATTCTATACAGTCCTTTTCCTCTATATTAGTTGCATGAAAGCAAGCATGTCATAATCATTGCGGTTATGAATAATACGTTGTATTATGAATAATAGTGTATCTTATAATATTAATAATAACATTCTTTTAAACATAGTGAAAGACATAGGTCAAAAACTTTTTTCGATTTCGGATTAGTGTCGTCCATGAATCGAGCATCGCATACTACGATAAAACATCAACGAAGTGAGAAGTAGGAACAGTAGAGTGTGAATACCGACACGATACATTTCGATTTCAAGCAAAAAAAATACCGACTTTGGGCAGCTCTGGGTTAATCAATCAGAATTGAGCGTCCTAGTGCAGGAATAAAAAGATCATTTGAGAGCAATGTGAATGATTATATATTCTATTAGATGCACTCACTCTCTTCCTGAGGCTGAAAATTTTTCTGTAAACATGAACTACGTAGAAGAAAAAATTATAATATTTTCACATTTTTAGAGCAATGTAAAATATAAACCAAAGTATCTAAACATCATTCTAGATAAAGATGATACTTTTTTTTCATCTAAAATGCAGATAAAGATAATTAATATTTTTATTATCTAGATAAAGATAAGATGGCATCAAAATTTCATCTAGATGACACTAGAGAAGAATTCCCAGATCGGCCGTGGCAAAAGATCGGGTTAGATTTATTTAAATGTTCCAGATGGTACTTGATCGCAACCGACTATTATTCAAGGTATTTTGAGATATGCGCGCTAAAGTCCATGACCGAGGCAGAAATAATCGAACATTGCAAAAATTTATTCGCGAGATTCGGCATCCCCGAGATAGTTCGGAGCGATTGCGGAACTCAGTTTTCCACAGAATTTAAAAAATTCACGAATGAATATGAATTCAGACACATAACGAGCTCAGATTCGTTCAACAAAAACTGACATCAGATTCGTAATTTGCGACCCCGAGAACCCCCGAGTAACTCCTTTCAAGCAAATTCATCCATTTTTTTAAAAAGTCGTCCGCCATATTGTATCCGCCATTTTAAATTCCTGAAAAATGATATCTGATTCGTAATCAGCGACCCCAAAAACCCCTGAGTAACGAGTTTCAAGCGAATTCAGTGAATAGAAAAATGCGTGACTGAAAGGGTTAAGGCGATATTATGGATGTTTTAGTGTTTTAAGACTTCCATAATATTGCATAATTGTTTTAATCAGAGCGATGAACTATCGTAGGGTTATCTTGCTATCTTACCTGTGTCTGCAGGCTATCTTATGAGCCTTTTAGGGCTTTATGGCTACTTGATATATATTTTATGGCGGTTTTTTGCCTTTTTAGGCGAGTTTTAATTTTTTTAGGCATGATGCCGGGTTCAAAAAATTCTTAAAAAATTCAGGGTGAAAATAAGTTTAAAAATACATGTTTTTGAATTTTTGCGAGGTTGCCAATCATAAACTAACAAAAGGGGGTCACTTATAAATTTTCAGGAATTTTTTAAAAATTATGGTTAGGTTGGAACATCTCGCAAAAAATATTTTCAAATACCCTTTGATACGTTTTGTATGCCCAAATTTTTTTAATAAAATTGTATCTGATAGGTCTCAAATATCTGATAGGTGACAAAAATAAAATATGAAAATACTTCATAAGGCAATATCTCCGAAAAGGGGTGGTGTACGGAATTAAAAATTTCTCCAAATTCTTTTTTCGGGTCAACGAACTTTTTGGTGACATACTGGTCATAATCCGTTTGGGGGCCGATTGACCCCTTCTTAACCTGCTACATCCTTTATTTGTATTTGTATTTTTACATTAAATAAAATGTTAAAAACAACTTTATTATCTCATTGTTCTGTTCCTATTAATTGAATAAAACTGGTGCTGTTTAATAATAATGCTGCTATTAAATGATATAATTATTTATTTATAAATACATTAATTGAAATTATATTTGTATTTTCACATTTAAAAAATTGTTAAAAACAGCTTTTACATTATTGTTCTATTCTTACTAGTTGAATGATACCGCGTCCAAGGCCGGTATTCGTCAGAAGTAATGTCTTAAGTATGTCTTAAGACGCGAATGCAGCCCTTTGGCCGGTATTCATAGTCGGTTCTTATTTCAAGAGTGTCTTAAGTAATGTCTTAAGATGCTAAAGTGGCCCTCTGATTGGTTCATAACTCCTCAAGACTGAACTTAAGACGGTGTTGAATATAAGAACTGACTATGAATATCGGCCTTTGATTGGTTCGTGACATCTTAAGACTGTACTTAAGACATTACTTTTTGACTATGAATACCGGCCCATGTGGTGGCCGTAGCGCACTGGCAAAGTATTTGCCTCCCATGCCAAAGATCCCGAGTTCAAATCCAGCTAGAATTCCTAAATAAAAATAATAACAAAAACGGCCATCACCGGTTGCTCCGGCCGACCGACAGTCAGTATAACTCTGACGGCTGGATAGGATTCTGTGGGCCAATCACCCGCAAACCCGAAACAAGTTGATTCGAGAAACGAATACGAGCCTCGCAGGACGGATACAACGGAAATGAACCTTAGCTATCAAAAAGGTATACGAATTGGCACATGGAACATCCGGACATTGGCACAGGCATCCCGTTTGGCACAACTAAGCAAAGAAATGACACGCTGTAACATTAAGATCCTAGGTCTCAGCGAAGTGCGGTGGAAGAACAGCGGGGACATTACAACGTCAGACAATCACTACATGATATACTCGGGCAATTCAACCACCCACATTAATGGAATTGGAATAGTTATATCCACTAAAATTAAAAAATCATTAATGGAGTGGAATCCAGTCTCCGACCGATTAATAACCGCTCGTTTCCGAGCCAAAAATCGCAATATAACAATCATTCAATGCTATGCACCAACGGAAATAGCAGACGACAGCGAAAAAGATCATTTCTACAACCAACTGCAGTCCACAATCGCCTCAGCGCAGAAAAGAGACATCAAACTTGTCATGGATGACTTTAACGGGAAAATCGGCAATAATAATAACAACCTCGATGAAATAATGGGTCGCCATGGACTTGGAGAAGCACGCAATAACAACGGCGAGCGATTAATTGATCTCTGCATGGCCAACCGACTTTTCATCGGCAGCACGCGATTCCCGCACAAGGACATTCATAAATATACCTGGCAAGCACCAGACGGAGTAACACGTAACCAGATCGACCACGTGCTAATTGACAAGAAACACCTGAAGTCTCTTCTAGATGTTCGAACAATGCGTAGTGCGGACATGTATAGCGACCATAAGCTAGTCGTGGCAAAAATACGCATAAGAACAATGAATATAATAACAACAAGAACAAAACAAAAGAAATTTAATATCGAAAAATTCAAGAATAAAGGCGAACGTCGGAACTTCTGTGAAACTGTAACAGCCAAAGTTAATAATATCAGTCCTACAATAAGTGCGAAGGAAAAATGGGAATTAGTGCAAAAAGCATACGTAGAATCCGCAAATGAAGTCATCGGGATCAAAAACCCGTAAAATGTGGATCACGAATGAAACCTGGGAATTAATCGAACAAAGAAGAACATTAAATCAGCAACTAAACCAGGTCCGAAGTGATGTAACCCTTGCAAGATATAACAACATAGAAAAACAAATTAAGAAAATGGCAAGAAGAGATCGTCGTAAATTCGAAGAAAACATCATCAATGACGCTGAAGTGGCGGCGGAACAAAAGGACGTGCGCAAAACATACCAATGTATCAGGAGGATCACCGGCCATTTTACAAGCATTCCACAAATTAAGAACAGCGATGGCCATATTCTCACTACGGAACAACAACAACTTAATCGATGGGTAGAATTCTTTAAACACGACGACCCAACAATAGATAACTGCGACATAGACTATACAACATCATCTCGTATCAGCACAAAGTCACCATCAGTTGCTGAAATCAGATTAGCAATAAAGAAACTCAAGAACAACAAAGCCGCAGGTAGTGACGGCATCGCACCGGAATTACTTAAAACTGATCCATCATTTGCGGCGGAAACACTTGCCCCCATTATAACAGAAGTATGGGACACAGGCAGCATCCCGGCGAAATGGAAACAAGGAATAATCATCACAATTCCAAAGAAAGGTGATCTCCGTGAATGTAAGAACTGGCGAGGAATAACCCTACTGAATACAATTACGAAGATTCTAGCGTCAATCATCCGCGAGAGAATGACAGCGCACGTCAATGAAAAATTGAGAAAAGAACAAGCAGGATTCCGCCCGGGACACAGCTGCATAGATCATATAAGCAGCCTTCGAATTATAGTGGAGCAAGCAGCAGAATTCAACTCACCACTGTATCTGACTTTCGTGGACTTTGAAAGAGCATTTGACACCGTGACTTGGCCGGCTATATGGAAAACACTAGAAAAATTTGGAATACCAGCCCAAATAACAAGATTAATAAAAGAATTATATGATAACGCGGAATGCGGTGTTCTCTTCAAAGGAAAACTGAGCCCCTCCTTCCAAATCAGAAGAGGTGTACGCCAAGGCTGCATTCTATCACCGATGCTATTCTTAATGGTACTGGATACGGTGATGGAAAAATGCAATCAAGAAACAACAGGCGGAATACAGTGGCTGCTGACTCGCCGACTTGACGATCTCGACTATGCGGACGACATCGTGTTACTATCTCATACACACAAAGATGCACAGGGGAGAATTTCAGCACTTCAAAGATACGCTGCAGAAGTTGGACTAAAGATCAATACCAACAAAACAAAAATAATGCGTATTGGAACAAACATAAGCACACCTATTTCCATTGAAGGACGCACAATCGAAGAAGTCAACGACTTTGTATACCTTGGTTGCGTAATTGCCAAAGACGGAGGAACCAACATCGATGTTAGCAAAAGAATAAACAAGGCCCGACAAGCCTTCTTCAGACTTAATAAAATATGGAGAAGCTCAAAGATGTCTAACATACATAAGCTTCGTTTATTCAATGCTTGCATCAAATCTGTGCTGCTATACGGTTGCGAGACCTGGAAAAACACAGATGGACTGATAAACAAACTTCAGGTCTTCGTGAACAAATGTCTGCGACGAATTCTGAGACTGTTCTGGCCAAACTTGCCAACTAATGAAGAACTACTGCGCGCCTCCAAGCAAGAAAAAATAGGCACTGAAATCCGCCGCAGAAAATGGAAATGGATCGGCCATACTCTAAGAAAACATCCGCATAACATAGCTCGCATGGCTATGGAATACAATCCGCAAGGAAAGCGCAAAAGAGGGAGACCTGCCATGTCTTGAAGGAGAACAATAGATAATGAAATTAAATCTATTGGAAAATGCTGGGCAGAAATAAAAACGATTGCCCAAAATAGAGTAAGATGGAGGAGACTCGTAGACGTCCTATGCTCCACATAAAGGAGATAAAAGGAGTGATGATGATGATGATGATGAATACCGGCCCAAGATATTAATTCGAGACACTTCATTGGCTCTGCCATATTTTGTCGAAACCAATAGGCTGGATGACAACCTTGGCCAGACTCTTAGGGTGCCGTCACATACAGCCCGCAATCCGTAATCCGCACCGAATGTCCGCAAAAGTTGCTAGGCATTGCGTCCGTAACGTTATGTGTATTTTATCTCCTTATGTCCCATGGAGCCGTAATTCCGTAAAAGTTACCAGTTTTTATTAGTAATGCTTTTTCTAATTTTATCTATTTGACTAATGCCCGTTTCTACCAACTTTGGTTTAAACCGTTGGTTATTAAAACTTTAGTTAACAGAAAACCTTAGATTAGAGAGTTAGCAGCACCGATTGGTTCCTTATACCATCATTGAATCTCGTAAGTTTAACTAAACTTATAACCCATGTGATATAACTGTAGGAAACTCAAGAACACTAAATGCTGATTGGTTCAGTGCCCGCTCTAACTGGCTGAACAGATTTTTTATATTTTAGCTGCAAAAAGTAATAATGTCGAGTGAAGGAAACATAAAAAATAAACAGTAACGCAAACGTGCCGACAATTTTTCGGAAGCGGAAAAAATGATTTTAACCAATTTGGTTTTACATTTACAAGGATGTCATAGAAAATAAAAAATCTAAATGTCGTCTAATTGTTCAATATAATTTATGCGCTGTTTAAATCTTTTTCTTCTTCTACGGTTTGGTTCTCGATAATCTTCATCATCAGATGATGACAGTAAAAAATTAAACAAATCTGCCATGTTTTTTTTTACTAAAATCTAGTTTGTAGCCTTGTATTTTTAGTATAAATTCCTTTCCTTTTATTTATATTTTCAATAACTTTAACCTTACTTGTCGCGTGTGTTTAAAGAAATTTAGGTTAAGAACTACTTTCCGTAGGCGCTAGTTACCTTTTTAATTGGAGTTTAAGAAGCTTATGCCCGTTTCTACCAACTTCGGTTTAAACCGTAGGTCATGAAGGAAGATATAAGGAGACTCCATTCAGTCTCGCCAGTCTACAAAACATGGACCCATTTTAGGTTTCGAGTTCAGTTTCCGATTCTTGACACTCGCAGCGCTCGTGAATTTAGTAGTGCTGCGCATAATGAGTGCGAGTAAGAGAAATGATCATTTCTCTTACTCGCACTCATCAGAATCGGAAACTGAACTCGAAACCTAAAATGGGTCCACTTTTATTTTACGGAGTGGAGTCTCCTTATATCTTACTTCCTGACGTAGGTTATTAAAACTTTGGTTAACAGAAAACTTTAGGTTAGAGAGTTAATAGCACCGATTGGTTTCTACCAGCATCGAATCTCGTAAGTTTAACTAAACTTATAACCCATGTGATATAACTGTAGGGAACTCAAGAATACTAAATGCTGATTGGTTCAGTGCCTGCTCTAACTGGCTGAACAGATTTTTTTATATTTTAGCTGCAAAAAGTAATAATGTCGAGTGAAGTAAACATAAAAAATAAACAGCAACGCAAACGTGCCGACAATTTTTCGGAAGCGGAAAAAATGATTTTAACCAATTTGGTTTTACAGTACAAGGATATCATAGAAAATAAAAAATCTGATGCAGTAACCTCAAAAGACAAAGACAAATGTTGGAAAACTATAGAAATAACTCTTTCTGTCATAAAAAAAAACTCCAACTCTTCTCTTATTTCTTCCAATATTAATCGAACTGACTGTTTGTTTAATCTAAGCCGCATTTTAAATTCCATGTCGTCTAATTGTTCAATATAATTTATGCGCTGTTTAAATCTTTTTCTTCTTCTACGGTTTGGTTCTCGATAATCTTCATCATCAGATGATGACAGTAAAAAAATTAAACAAATCTGCCATGTTTTTTAATAAAATCTAGTTCATAGCCTTGTATTTTTAGTATAAATTTCTTTCTTTTTATATTTTCAATAACTTTAACCTTACTTGTCGCATGTGTTTAAAGAAATTTAGATTAAGAACTACTTTCAGTAGGCTAGTTACATTTTTAATCGGAGTTTAAGAAGCTTAAACGGTCAAAATTGGCCGTTTAAATAGAACTCAGTTTGCAGAAGTTTAAACTTAAATAAATTATTGGTAGAAACCAATATTCTAGTAAACTTTGGTTAACCGAGTGTCACTAGGAATTAACTTTTTAAACCACGTTGGTATAAACGGGCATTAAACGGTCAAAATTGGCCGTTTAAATAGAACTCAGTTTACATAAGTTTAAACTTGAATAAATCATTGGTAGAAACCAATATTCTAGTAAACTTTGGTTAACCGAGTGTCACTAGGGATTAACTTTTTAAACCGCGTTGCTAGAAACGGGCATAAATTCTGCAGTTTTCTTATGAAATAAATTAAAAATAAATAATATAATTTGTTAAATAATAAAATAATGTAAAGCATTACTAGTAAAAACTGGTAACTTTTACGGAATTACGGCTCCATCGGACGTAAGGAGATAAAATACACGTAACGTTACGGATGCAATCCCTAGTAACCTTTGCGGACATCCGGTGTGGATTACGGATTGCGGGCTGTATATGACGGCACCCTTAGTATAGGGATCTACGTGTACCAAGTGTTTAGTGTAAAAGAAGTCATTGATACTATATTATTAATTATAAATAAATATGTTTTAATATATTCTATAAGATGTGTATAACATTCATATCAGAGATGTTGAAATAATTTTTTAACTGTTTTACAGTAAGGGTGCAAACCCATGCAACGAAATAGCGTAACGCGGAACGAGAGCAGAATCAATAGGTGCATCCAGAAGCACGACCGCTGACTAAGCAATCAATGAGCTTCTTTATCTGATTGGCATATTCCATTAGATCTAAAAATATAAACTAAACAAGTACAAGAGCTCATTGAGCGCTCAATGAGCGGTCGTGCTTCTGGATTCACTCAATAACGAGCATTCCGTGTTTCTAGAGAAACTCGTGATTGGTTCTGCTCTCGTTCCGCGTTACGCTATTCCGCTACATAGGTTTGCACCCTAAATTTAGAAGTTAATCTTAAAATGTGCTATGACAATTGATATTGACCAGGGGGTCTATTCTTGAAAAGAAACGTATACGAAAAATTAGGAAAATACTATAGTATACGTTACGTATACTATAGTATTTCCCTAGGCTTTCGTATACGTTTCTTTTCAAGAATAGAGCCCCAGATGTTATAAACACTTAAGCCTATTCTACAATGGGCAGTAGTAGTAGTGGATCAAGGAATAGGCGTAGAAATCGACCAATGATAGTTAATTATTCTCCTCACATTCGATTATGATTTGTTGATTTCTACGCCTACTTCTTCATTCACTACTGCTACTGCCCATTGCAGAATGGGCTTTAACTTAATAAAGAAGCAAATTACTCTAACATCTAAAGTGGCTTCTACATTGAGATTTTAAGGCGTAAAACTTTTTGAGGCTTTTGCCTTAAATTGAGGCTTAAACCTTAAGGAATTGACCAATTATAATTGATTGTCCTCTACACACATTCAACTGTGGTTAATTGCTTACAACTTAAGGTTTAATCACAGTATAACTACATACAGTAGCGACAGTAGCTGCCGGCTTTTTTGATGTCGGTGGTCACCGATCACGTGACTGTTAGCCATTTTTGGGGTTTTACGGACCTCTAAATTTGAACGAATGAAGAGACGTTGTAGTATTTCGCATATAATACAATTAATCTACAATAGGTGTTTTAAGCTTTAAGCCGTAATAAATTAATCAATTAGAGTCGAACTCGAACAGAATAATCGACTACGATTCGTCCATTTCTTATGGCTTAATGCTTAAAACTCTATCGTAGATTCGGGATAATCAAAGCAGAATGTATACATAAGGGTCTAAGCACAAGCACTGCCGTAACATTTTATGATATACTTAAGTTCTAGACGTAAATAAGAGCCCAAACACACACTTTTGCATAACGCATAAAGCATGTGCATAAGGAATTTCATTGGCCCATTTTCTTATGCATGAGTCAATGGACCAATCAAATTCTTTATGTATATGTATTATGCCTTATGCAAAAGTCTGTGCTCTCCGCTTAACGCACAAGCTTTGGCGTATCGGCGTATGACGTGTGTAATATATTTTCATGTTATTTTTATACGCGAGCGCTGCTATCGTTTATCCTTAATGTTCATTGGTTATGCGTACGCACTCCTTGTCCGTTGTGTTCCGTGTGTGTGTAATGGACACTAGCCACGGGCGTTCGTTGTTCTCCTCGCTCCTGAGTTTTACTATTATTAAAGCATGCATATTACAATAGTATTCTTGTTGAGTTATTTCTGATTAACCCTATCAAGATACATTACATTGGCGACGAGGTAAAGCCAGTTTTCGGCAAAGGGCCTAAGAATCATCGTGAAGGAAGGTTCCGATGTGTGTGCAATAAGCGTTGAACAAAGAACGCGCAGTCATAGGGACGCAAGCACACAAAGATTTAAGGTAACGTGCGATCATAGGGACGCAGCGTTAACAAGATTAAAACGTGCGATTACAGGGACGCAAGGTAAACGAGGTTAAGGAAGGCGCGTAAACCTTAAGCATACCGTTAAGAAACAAAATGTCCACAACGGACTTATTGAAATTTCAAAAGGATCTCGAGGAACGGGAGAAAGTCTTAGCGGAAAGGGCTAAGCAGCAGGAACATCAGAGAAGCTTATTGGTGATGGAAAGTCAGCAATTAGCTCAAGCAAGAGCAGAACTTAGGGCAGCATCGAAAAAAGAAGAGCCACAAGTTATTCACACCATTGTTAGAGGTACAGTTGGTAATATTTCCGAATTTTCTATGAAAGAAGATTACACGAGATGGTTCGAGCGGGTAATGCTCTACTTTACCGGTAACGAAGTACCGTGTGAGAAACAAGTACCGCTTTTCCTTACGTTATTGGGAAGCGAAGGTTATGAACTTCTTTGTAATTTGTGCACGCCGGAAAGGCCGGCAAATCTCACAATTAAACGTCTCGCGGAAATTATGCGGAATCATCCACATGCAGCCACAACCAAGTACGATAGCTCAGCGTTACAAATTCAAAGAATGTAAGCAGCTAACAGGCGAGGACATCAAGACGTATCTCGCAAAGCTTAAGAAGCTTTCCACGCATTGTCACTTTGAAGAGCAGCTGGAAAATTGCATCCGGGACCAGTTCGTATGGGGTCTGGCCAGTGTGAGGATCAAGAAGAGGCTTCTGGCTGAGCAACAGTTGACGTATACCAGAGCGGTGGAAATCAGCACTAGTATGGAGATGGCCGAACGAGATGCGGCAGACATGGCTAATTCAGTGAACAGCACAGGCAACGCACTCAATGTTATCAATAAGCAGAAAAAGGTTTTGCAGACGGTTACATGTTTTTGTTGTGGGAAGAAAGGTCACATGGCAAAAGAGTGTCGTTTTAAAGGGTATTCTTGTAATTCGTGCGGGAAGAAAGGACATTTAGAGTCAGTTTGTAAAGTTCAGGCTTCAAACAAAGGCGTGAAGGGTAAATCACCAAAACAAAGTCGCGCGAATGGTAATGTTAAAATTAAAAATGTGAATCCGAATAATGTTAAAGAATCGGAAGACAGTAATGATAGTCTAATTTATATGGTAATAAGGATAATGTGAATAATATAATTGGTTGTATCGAACCATTAAAAGTTAACCTGGAGGTTGGTAATAAGTTTTTGTCGTTTGAATTAGATACAGGATCACCGATTTCGGCAATTTCGGAGAAAGATTTCGATAGGCTTAAACCGTTTGAGAATGCGGTAGTGTTGAAAAGTTCGCGCACTTTTAAAGCGTATACAGGTAATCCAATAGTTCCTCTAGACATATTGAAGGTTAAGGTAACTTTTCAAAATAGAAGCAAGGTTCTTGAATTGTTTGTCTTACCAGGTAAAAGCGCACCTATTGTTGGTCGTAATTGGCTTAAGGCCTTAGATATTATTCAATTTGATTTGGCATCTGAAAAATTGTCAGTCAGGACAGTTAATGAAAAACAAAATGATATTTGTAAAAGATTTGAGTCACTTTTTTCAAATGAAATTGGATGTTATACGAAAAAGAAATTTAAATTGCATCTCAAAGAAGGGGTTAGTCCGGTATTTTGTAAACCAAGGCCGGTACCTTTCGCGTTAAGGGCGAAAATTGAGAATGAAATTGATCGTTTAGTTAAAGATGGTATTTTAGAAGCAGTTGAATATAGTGATTGGGCAACACTGATTGTGCCAGTGCCAAAAGTTAACGGTTAGATTCGTTTATGCGGAGATTATAAGGTTACGTTAAATCCTCATTTATTAGTGGATAAACATCCTATTCCGAGAGTATCGGATTTGCTTACAAAGCTAAGTGGAGGTACGGTATTTACCAAGTTGGATTTAGCTCAGGCTTATCAACAAGTAGAGTTGGATGAGGAATCAAAGTTACTTGTCACAATAACAACTCATAAGGGGTTATTTAAAAGTAATCGTTTAAGTTATGGTGTAGCGTCAGTACCAGGGTTATTCCAGCGTGAAATGGATAAGATTTTTCAGGATTTAGATATGGTAGCTATTTTCTTTGACGATTTAGTAGTTACAGGAGCTACTCGTGAAGAGCACGATAGAAATTTAACGTGTGTCTTGAAAAGGTTACAAGATTGTGGTTTAACACTGAGTAAAGACAAGTGTGCGTTTGCACAAAGTAATATAGAATTTTTAGGATTCGAGTAAAATGCACAGGGCATACAGGCGTTGAGTAAAAAGGTTGACGCAATAGTGAATATGAAGGAACCTGATAATTTGACAGAACTTAAGTCATTTCTGGGTATGATTAATTATTACTCAAAATTCATTAAAGATTATTCTGATTTGTTGAGCCCATTGTATAAACTTCTTAGGAAAGATAAGAAATGGTGTTGGGCAAAGGAACAAGAGTTAGCTTTTAAAAAGGCAAAAGAGCGTTTAGCATCTAGGGAGATTTTGATACATTATAGTTCAGATTATCCTCTGAAAATTACGTGCGATGCGTCTCCTGTTGGTTTGGGGGCGGTAGTGTCGCATATTCTCCCAGATGGATCGGATAGGCCGATAGCTTATGCATCAAGGGTTTTGTCAGCAGCTCAAAGAAACTATTCGCAGTTGGATAGAGAGGCATTAGCTCTTGTTTTCGGAGTAAAAGCATTTCATCAGTATGTCTACGGACGTAATTTTATTTTGGAAACAGATCATAAACCGCTTACATATATTTTTGGTCCGAAGAAAGGTATTCCACAGATGGCGGCTAGTCGAGTACAAAGATGGGCAGTGATTTTAGCAGGTTATGATTTTACAATTAAGTACATTAAAGGTCGAGATAACGGTCCTGCCGATGGTTTATCGAGAGTTAGTATGAAGGATACTAGTCAAGCGACTGATTCAAAAGATTTACAGGTTCATAATTATTTAAAGGCAATAAGTGAAGAATTGCAAAATTTGGATAGTAAGGCGGTTCGTAAGGGAACTAGCAAAGATACTTTCTTGAGTAAAGTCAGAAATTTTGTTATGCAGGGATGGCCTGATAAAGTAGAAAAATGTTTTGAACCTTTTAAAAGTCGTCGTTTAGAATTATCGGTGGAAGATGGATGTATAATGTGGAGTTATCGCGTTGTTATTCCCCCGTCCTTAAGAGCGGAATTGCTTGAGAAGTTGCATGGAATTCATTTAGGGGTAGTTAAAATGAAGGCGTTAGCTCGATCGTATTTTTGGTGGCCAGGTCTAGATAAGGATATAGAGGAGATCATTAAAAGTTGTAAAGGGTGCTTAGAGAGCGCCGATGATCCTCCTAAAAGTACATTGCATGTTTGGAAATGGCCTCAAGGGCCAAACCATCGTATACATTTAGATTTTTATGGACCAATAGGGGGCCATATATATTTAGTTATAACAGACGCTTATTCAAAATGAATTGATATTAAGGAGATGAAAGATATCTCAGCGGAATCTACAATTAGAGCGGTGAAAGAATATACCAGTACATGGGGAGTGCCATATCAGATCGTTTCGGATAATGGTCCTGCGTTTGCGAGCGAACAGTTTAAAGAATTCGTATCGCGGAATGCTATTAAGCATACTAAAACAGTACCATACCATCCTGCGTCTAACGGAACGGCCGAGAACGCTGTACGTACGTTTAAAAGAAAGTTTAAATTGTTACTTAAAGACTATACGAGACAGGATGCGTTATGTAAATATTTATTTCACTATAGAGTGACACCTCATTGTACTACCGAAAAGTCACCAGCAGAGTTACAGTTAAATAGGCGTTTGCGAACCAGATTAGATATTATTAAACCCGATATTAGAAAAAGAATAGAGTCAAAGCAGAGGGATCAGCAACGATTCTTCAAGGGCAACCGTACAGTTACGTTCAGAGAAAATGACTCCGTAATGGCTAAGGATTTCAGAACAAGGTCGTGGAGACAAGCGGAAATCGTGGAGCAAACGAGTCCGGTTTCCTATAATGTTAAAACAGATGACGGACGGATATGGAGACGTCATACCGATCAATTGCGAGCTTGTAATTTGCAATTACCTGAGTCACAAGCGTGCGAAGACTCAGCGCGACCTAGCGATTTTGTTATTTCGAATCGAAAGAATTCGATTAATCCTAATGTAGGTGATACTTATGTTAAGAGCGGTGCTCAGGCAAACGATTGTAATATTGACTCCAAGGTTTTGGAAGAACATAGAAAGAGTGTTCTTACACCAGGCAAAAAGGTGTTAGTTAAATCTAGTGTTTTAGATACTCCAGTGGAAGGACTACGACGTTCAAGTCGTGTACCGAAACCTAGGAAGGTTTTAGACTTGTAAGCGGAAATGTTTATTTCCTTAATTTAAGTGAGGAGGAGTGTAATATATGTTCATGTTATTTTTGTACGCGAGCGCTGCTATCATTTATCCTTAATGTTCATTGGTTATGCGTGCGCATTCCTTGTCCGTTGTATTCTTTGGGTGTGTGTAATGGACGCTAGCCACGGGCGTTCGTTGTTCTCCTCGCTCCTGAGTTTTACTATTATTAAAGCGTGCATATTACAATAGTATTCTTGTTGAGTTATTTCTGATTAACCCTATCAAGATACATTACAACGTGTTTATGTATGTACATGTCGAATTCGAAGAGAATAATCGATTATGATTCGTCCATTTCTTATGGTTTAAGGCTTAAAGCTATATCCACACAAACTTGCATAACCGCATAAACATATATAATGAAAATTATCCAATCACATTTTAAGCTGGTTCTACATTAGTCGCATCGCAGTGTCGCAAGCATTGTGGTACAATAAACATCAAGCTGGCTCGACTTTGCGACATGCTTGCGACGTTGCGATGCGATTAATGTAGAATCAGCTTTATGTGCATCTCTATAAAGGAAATGCGACTGGATAATTTTCTTTATGCATGCGTTTATGCAGCTATGCAAGTTTGTATGGATATAGCTTTAAGGCAATTCTACATAAGACGCAGAACGCAAATCGCAGGTCGCTAGTGAAACGTATTTCAGATTGTAATAGGTTGCAGACCGAAATATGAAGGACGCAAGGGCGCAAAAGTTGAAATTCACCCAACTTCCTGCGTCCTACAATTTATTATAATTAAAATATGTTTGATTAGTTTCTAATCTTGCGCCCTGCGACCTGTGTAAATCTATTGAATTACAAAATAGCGACTTTTCCCACATGAAAATAATAATGAAAACGTTTTCGCCAAATGATTTCCGATCGATTCCATTCATAAAATTCATTAAATAAAATCGCTGTCTGCTAACTTGTCGCTTGAGAAAATTTGTTAATAACAAAAAAATACTATTACCAAATGTTTAAATGCTTTTCCCAAATTTCCCCAAACGATTCCCAAATTATATACACATAAATGAATCAAAAATATTCAGTTTGCCATCTTGTCAGTGGTACAGGAGTCAATGTTGAGTAAATTGATAGTAAATTCAATATGGCAGCTACTACGAATTAAGGTTGATTTATACTGGCCGTAAACTGTTAACTTATGCCGTAATCTGTAAAAATTGACCAATCACAGTCGAATGAGAGGGGAATAATCGATTATAATTGGTCAATTTTTACAGATTACGGCATAAGTTAACAGATTACGGCCAGTATAATCCAACCTTAAAGGTTGATTTATACTGGCCGTAATCTGTTAACTTATGCCGTAATCTGTAAAAATTGACCAATCACAGTCGAATGAGAGGGGAATAATCGATTATAATTGGTCAATTTTTACAGATTACGGCATAAGTTAACAGATTACGGCCAGTATAATCCAACCCTTACTCTAGTCAATTAGAGAAATATATCGATCACGTGACACTTTGCGAATCTCTGTTATACTATAGGGTCTCTAGGTTATACAGGCCGTAATCTGTTAAGGGGTTCCTTAAGCAAAGCTCGAACTCTAAGGCCGGTATTCATAGTCGGTTCTTATTTAAAGACTGTCTTAAGTAATGTCTTAAGATGCTAAACCCTCTGATTGATTCGTAACTCTTCAAGACTGAACTTAAGACGGTCTTGAATATAAGAACTGACTATGAATACCGGCCTAAGGGCTACGCAGAATAAAAGGAACAGGGAACAGAGAACAGAGAATAAGAATTTCAACCTATCAAAAATCAAGTACTATGGAGTAAACAGTGTGTATTTTATAGTACATGATTTCTGATAAGTTGAAATTCTTATTCTCTGTTCTCTGTTCCCTGTTCCTTTTATTCTGCGCAGCCCCTAACAAAATCGCCAGATGTCGTTGTTTTACAACAATCGACATATCTTTTATATACTACCACTAGTATCTCACGCAGACAGATGCACGCAGTCGCTTTATCTGTCAATTTTCGTATCGTAAATTCATCGCGATAAAGTGTCTAAGTCTAAGCCCGGATCCTCATACGGGCAACAGCGCTTTGACACCAAACGCTGATTGGTGAAAAACCGGTGGCGAGGGTAAAATTTACCCCCATAACCCGTTTTTCACCAATCCGGTGTTAAAGCGCTGTTGTCCGTATGAGGATCCGGGCTAATTCTAAGAATGCTGTTTCTTCATGCAAACTACGTGTCTGTGAACTACTATTTCTTAAGTACAAATTGCGCAGCTTTTATATAAAACAAATGTTGTTACGACTAGAGACCTAGAAAACAGAGATGCGTCATTGAAGGGTATGGCTTGATTGGCTGTCTAAATCACGTGATCAGAGCGCCATTTTAATTCACTATTGCATTTAATAGATATAGTTTTATAACGTATGTACATATATATATATAGAGAAAAATTTAGACAATACAGTGTCGAAGTGCAATAAAAAACTATTATTATGGTGTAAGTATTCTATTTGTGTGAATATTTAATATCGATCTTAACCTAACCTAATCTAATCTTTCTACCTTTTGCATCAACTGTCATCAGCTTATTGGTCAAGAGCACTTATATTGAATTAAAATGGTGGTGGTTACCTAACCCAACCAACGCAATGTCGCATCTCTGTTTTCTAGGCCTCTAGTTACGACGTGCAACGACGTGACAGCTCTGGAGCGCCATATTGGACTAAAGAATGGTAAAAAAGAACTCAATTTTGAAATTTTTTATCGTTTTCAGCATAGATTCTACCTCACAGACACGCATTAATCCGTATACTTTAATTCTGTAAAAGGATTTTCGAATCTGTGAATGATAAAAAAAGTATTTACGATACAAAGATTATACGATTTAGTCGGTAATACAGGAGGCTTTAGAATCCCCTTAACTTATGCCGTAATCTGTAAAAATTGACCAATCACAGTCGAATGAGAGGGGAATAATCGATTATAATTCTTCAATTTTTACAGATTAGCCAGTATAAACCAAAGGCATAGAGAATGTACTGTGCGATCCGTGTGTCAAAATGGTCGATAAGGATGAGAGAGAGGAACCGTGGAAGACGACCATATCCCTCTCATTCTCTCTTTCATTACACCATTTAATGGAAAAAGATAGAGATGGTCGTCTTCCACGGACTCTCTCTCTCATTTTCGTCGACTACATTTTGTTATTACTAGAGTCCTAGATATCAGAGAAGCGCAACCGATGTGCCGCGTCCTAATTGGCGTGCTATCAGCCAATCATGACATTCATTGGTACTAAAAATGGCTGACTAATAGACGATTAGTGGATTTTATAGTTCATCTGCAAACGACGCCATTTTTAGTATTTTTTTTTAGTAATTTTGCGATACTGACTTAAGCCATTTGCGCTTCTCTGATATCTAGAACTCTACTCATATCCAACACATTTCTTCAACTATAAGTTCATACCACGAAGACACGAACTATTAGGTGTACAAAAAAGTTCTGAGCTTTTTTTTTTGTAAAATTCAATCTTTATTCGTATGTATTTGTACGAAAATGGCTTGCTGCGTAACGCCAATCTGTTCTGCAAGCTCCATTTCAGTTTGCGCAGAGTTTATATCCAGCAATGCTTGCAATTCGTCCGTTTCAATCTTTTCAGGACGTCCAGCACGCAATTCATCTTTAAGGCTGAAATCTCCTTGGCGAAACTTTTGATACCATCTTTTACATGTAGGATGACTTACAGCGTTCTCTCCATATGCAGCACAAATCATTGCAGTGGCTTCAGCAGCATTTTTCTTCAGATGAAACGCGAAGTGGATGGAAAATCGAATATGCTCTTTTGTTATTGTCATCATGAACACTACTGATTTTTGAGGTTATGTGCATCAAACGCCAAACCGTATGGCATTTTAGAAGGCCAAATGTTAACGCTTTAAAACCGCAAAAGAGCGGGAAGATATATAAAATTTAAATTGTTATTTCGGTTGTATGAAATCTAAAGCTCAGAACTTTTTTGTACACCTAATATATCTTATGGTACGTTTCCACCGAGCGCGTCACGCATCGCGTCGTGAAAGAGAGAAAAAGAGAAGTTTATATAAATACACAACTTTTAAAAAAATCTTTTTTTTAAAGTGATGAAAACTGATCCCCTTCTGTTTATAATTATGGCATTGTGCCACAAAACAGTATGTAGTATTTCTTTTTGATTTTACTTTATTATTTTCCATTATAGCACGTATAAGTTTAGCCAATGTGTCTGACTAGCGAAGCTTCTACCGGCCGCTACTAGGAGGATCTTTGCATCGCCAATACAGTAGCGACAGTAGCTGTCGGCTTCTTTGATGTCGATGGTCACCGATCACATGACTATCAATCATTTAAAGAGTTTTGCGGACCTCTAAATTTAAACGAATCAAGAGACGTTGTAGTATTTTGCATATAATGCTATCCAATGCTATTACAGTCCGTCATTTTCTTGGTTTTACAGTCAACACATGCGCAAAACAAAATTGGATCCTTTATTTGCTGGTACTGTCGCTACTGTATGTAATTATACTTAGGCCGGTATTCATTGTCAGTTCTTATATTCAAGACCGTTTTAAGGGGAGGCACCTGTCTCATTTTGACCCCTCGAAATTCTAATGACTGAAGGTGCTCGTATTTTTATTCTTCGTCGATTTTGTGGTCAAAAACATACCAGACTGTTATAAAAAAAAAATCGAATTTTTCACTGAAAAAAAATTTTATTTTTTCAATCGTAAAAGATATTGTCAAATGCATACGAGAGATTATTCGAAATGTTGAGAAGATCATATAAAAAAATTACCATGAGAAAATATTGAGAATTGTAAGAGAAGATAGATTTTTAAGATTGAACTTAAGGAATTTCAATCTACTGAAGTCACAAATTAATTGAAAAACATTATTTTTTTGGCTTAGAAATATATTTTTTCAGTACCCAAGAACACGTAT